ACACGGAAACGGGCACCGGAAGGAGAAGACGAAGTGATTTTCCCCTGGGAAGGGGTTTGGGATGACATGGCACTGCCCCACGCTGCTGGCAGCCCGGCTTAGCTGGGTGAAGTTCTGTGCTGCGCCTTGTCCCAGGGTTTGTTGACCTTCTGGTGCCAGGGCTGAGCATGGTGGTCCCAACGGGTGTCACCCACCATGGGGTCCCTTCTCCTTGCTTCATACTTGGGGAGGCTGTGCCTGCGCCACCTCGCTCCTGCAAGCGCTGGCAGTCATGGCTGGCACCCACCCCACCAGCTGCCCCTTGCTGCTAGGTGCTGGCAGGGCCCACCCCGAGCAGGTCCCACTGCCCCGGAGCTTCCTGCAGTGGGTCTGCCTGTGCATGCCCTCTGTGACTCATGGCGCGGCTATGCCGGGTGGTGCCGTTGCCAGCAGGCATGGCCACAGCTGGGCTCGGCCTTGCACTGTGCAACCTGTTAATGGCACAACATGGCTTTGCCTGGCAAGGCCCAGTTTGGACTGGCACAGCTTGGCCTGGTGTGGCTTAGCCCAGCATGGCTTGACTTTCGCTGCCCGTGGCCTGCCATGACCAGCTCAGCCCAGTCCTGTTTGGCATGGCCCACCCCTGCCCCAGCTCCAGGAAGAAGCTCTGCATTGCCATCCTTCTAGTGCCAGCACTGAATTTGGTGATCCCAAAGGGTGTCACCAACTGCAGGGTTCCTTCTCCTCCCCTCACAGGATTAGGCAGGAGCTCTGTTGTACCTCAGGAAAGTCAGCTGTTAAAGCAGCTTTAAAGCCCACCAAAGAGTAATGAAGTAAGACAGGAATGGGAGAACGGGGTCACAACAAGGACACGCACTATCCTGGGTGGATCTGAGCGGGCAGGGTGCTCGGTGGTGGTCAAAGCCTGAGGAAAAGTTGGTGGAGCTGTTTGGGTACAAGCCTGAAGCAGGAACAGGCTGCAGCCAGGGAGGCTGTGCCCATACCACCTCACTGCAGGAGCTGGCATGCAGCTGCTCCCCCTGGGCCTTTCCAGAGCACCTGCTCTCTAACCCACCCCACCTCGTCCCAGGGGGAAAACTTGCTAAGCAGGGAGCAGGTTGCATACAGGCCAGGAGCTGTGTCCCTTGCCTGAGGGAAGGGCAACCAGCACATTCAAAACCAGCTGTAGCATGGTCCTGCTGCCACACCCACAAAGGAACAATCTGGCCCTGGCCAGGACCCACCGGAGCTGCCCTGTCCCCATCCCCACCACAGGCAGCTTGTTCTGCATCCCCAGCACAGAGGAGGCTTTGGAGTGCCCTGCTCCGGGGCACTGCAGCGACCGTTCCATCTTATCCTCAGCCAGAAGGCAGCTGTGTCATTGCCCACAGGCCGGAAAAGCAGGGAGTCCCCGCTGCGGTCACCAGCCAGCTCTGCACCGAGCTGCAGGCAGCAGCATGCTCTCAGATATGAGATGCAAGGGCTTGTTCCTGCTTTGGGCTTGTACCCAAACAGCTCTGCCAGCTTTTCCTCAGGCTTTGACCACCACCAAGCACCCTGCCCGCTCAGATCCACCCAGGACAGTGCCTGTCCTTGTTGTGACCCCGTTCTCCCATTCATCTCTTACCTCATTACCCTTCGCCAACCTTTAAAGCCACTTTCACAGCTGACTTTCCTGAGGTACAACAGAGCTCCTGCCTAATCCTGTAACACAGGCTGTCTCATGTGCTGCCCCTTGTGCTTGGGAACAGTTTCTGTCAAACACCCGCACAAATACCTGCACAAGTTCCTTGTTCCCTTCCCTCAAGTTTCCCTTTGCAGCAATGCCTCCAGGGACTTGGCAGCAGGCACCATGCTGTTGGACTTTGGTTCTCTTTGTGTCCAAGGCATTGCTTCTTCCCAGTCCTTTGGCTGCAGGCTGCCAGGGGAAGGAGAGCTTTTTGTTCCCTCCTCACGCCATGCTGCTGGCATGTGAAGCCACAGAGCCTGAGCACCGCAAGGGGGGAATGGAGGTGGGTGGCTGAGGTTGCCCAGCTGTCTCTGAGGCCTGCCCCACACATTGTGTTGTGCCATCCTCCAAGAAACAGCCACTGGACACAAATCAATGAGCACACATGGCAGCAGCTGCCTGGGAACCACCCCTGCTCCAGCCTGCACCAAGGAGCAGCAGGGAGCAGTCCTGCTTGCTGCCTCCCCCTTTGCATCATATGGCCAGAAAGTGCTCACAGCCAAACCGCACTCCAGGTGTCACGCACCCCCTCACCCTTTTGCTGTCCACCCAAACCAGGCTAGGAGACTGGTCCCTGGATGGAGATGGCAGGAGTGGCCATGTAAATCACTACTGGGACAGTAGGGTGGGCTGACATCTGCCACCAAGGCTATCAGCAAAGCTCTCTTCCCATTCTTAAAGCATCCCAGCCCCAGTGCACACAGCTCACCATTCACCTGCTCTTAGCAGCAAAGCCTCTGATGCCTCTGCAAGCCAGAGGGAAAGCCTGCTCAGGCTGGGAGAGCCTGTGAACCACAGCTGGGTTCCCAGCAGCAGGGCAGGGCTTGTGCTCACACAGGAGGAGCACGCAACCCCCCACTCCTCCTTTAGCACCACGCATGCTCCTGCATCCCTGCCGCAGCTGAGGTCCTCCCCTCCCAGGTCCCAGCCCCCAACCCACTCCACAAAGAAAAGACTGCAAGAACAATAGCTCATTTTTTTCCTTTTTTCTTTTGTACACAAATATATACAGGGTATTATACACATCTCTACACAGACAGTGCCACTCAGAACACACAGCTCTCTGCAGGTAGAGCCCTGACAGCCACAGA